GTAGAAATCGGCCTGTGTTTCTCCGGGTTGCGTAACAACGGGTTCCGCGGGAATCGCTGGCACCAACGCAGGCTGCGGCTCCAAACGACCAGAATCTCCGCGCTTTAAATCGCGACAAAGCCACCTCGGCTCCGCGCTCAAGGATGAACACCCGAGCGAGTTCAAGGTATTTACGCGAAAATAAAGTCTCGTAACGATATAATGCGTAACGTTGGTAACGATGATAAAACCGACGCGGACGTTGAAGTGGAAGGAAGAGTGGCAGAGCAAGGGGGAGGACGGCGAGAGGGAGAGCGAACGTATTTCTTGCCGACGCGCACGGTCCGCCGCAAATTGCGGGTTGAAACACGGAGGGGAGGAGAGGAAGGGGTAGCGAATATAAGTAAAGAATAAAGAGCAAAGATGGAAGAACGGTGAAGTATTCAACAGAATTGTAGCGCGTACAACGTTACATTATATCCTTGATCGTATATTCCGCTACGTAGCTGAAAAACTCCTCCAAGCCGGCGATATAAGCGGCTTTTCTCTTTGCCCTGTTTCGCCTCGACGTCCCTCGACCGTGCCTGTTAGGTCCTCACTCCCTTTTTTCTTTTTTTTTTTTTCCTTTTTCTTTTTTTCATTCCCTCTAGCGCTCGTCTTCCCTCTCTCCTTCGCTCCCTTTCCCCCTTGGCTGAATTAACGTACGACTTCCGGCCGCGAATTGTCTCGTATGCGAGCGGCGCATAATCTCCGAACGAGACTGCTCCTTTGTTAGCTTGTCTTTAGACCGAGTGGTAACGCGAGTAAAATAAACTCGGGGAGCGGGGAGATTTTTTTAGGAGCTTTTAAAAACCATTCGCGCATCGAGGCGTAATAAAGGAATTTTTTTCTCCACGAAATTACCACCATCTCCTCGAGCGAGCTTCAAACTTCTCCCCGGTTGTGCCCTAGTTCCCGGTTAAGTCCCTGTGCCGGCGGAATATACGTGTACACGCCGAGACGTTCGAGCACGAGGCGGCGCGACACTCGTTGAGTCGCCGACGTTTCCTTACAAATGACGCGCGTCGCGCGGTTCCCCGGGCGAATTAAAAGGACACCAAGTGGTGGTAGGAGCCTCGTTACCTCGTCGGCGAAGACGCGGCGAGCAAGAGCGAAACTATTTACGACCACCTTGGAAACAAACAATCGGCCAGCAACGAGTTAATAGGCGCGTTGATCACGTGGAACAAGATTTTCGATCAACGGTTTTATCGGGCGGTCGAATCGCCGGTCGTCGTCGGCCGGTTTTTTTCAAGCGGGAGATTGAGCCAATTAAAAATGAGTCTTGGCCCCAAGAGTTTGCCAACCAGAGAATGCAACAAGGTTTCAGGAGAAATCTTCGGGAGAGAGAGAACGGCCGTCACGCATTGTCGCGGTTTTATCCAAACGACGAAAGTCGTGGTTCCTTCCCTCGGAAAGGGAGAGGACACGGCGGATGGCTGGTCTCGGTTAATGGCTACGTCAAGACCGCGTGGCAACATTTTTGGCCAATGTTTTATCGCTTCGCGATAATCCCTTTTGGCCTTCACGCTTTAATTCATCCCGCGACCAATCTCGCAGTAAGAGCGAGTAGACCGCTCGCTAATGGCGGCTCGGGTAAAAGTGAAACTGCAACCGGATCAACGGAGGCGACACACGTTGTTGCAGGCCCCGTGGCCCCCGATACATCTCGGATGCATTAAGCTTGTCTTACCTGGCGCGCGGGACTGTCGCGAACGACCGATTAATCCCGGGATAAGAATTCCCCCGGTATAAATGGATTGAGAACCGATGCGCGCGAGCGAGCGCACGCTCGCTACTTCCCTTGGCCCCTCTCTCCCGATTCCTCTCTCTCTCTCTCTCTCTCTGGCTTTACCTCGTTCGTTCAGCCCCGTATCTACCGGCCGTGAGAGCTTAGATTTTGCATACCGAAGGGGTAACCAATGGGATTAAACCGCAGGAACCTTTAAGTGCATGCCATTCCGCCGCCGCGCGTGAAATCCACGCGATATTATTTCGGGAATTTATGGAAATGCCCGCGGCATACCCGACTTCTTTAGTTTTTGCCGATGATAAAACGATCGGGGCGCGCGGCTGCCCGTTCCGGATAAAAATCACCTAATGCGAGCGGAATAATCGTTGTCTTCTCCCTGTCTTTGAATTCGACGTTCCGCCGTTTCTTTTTTTTTTTTTTTTTTTTTTTTTTTTTTTTCTTTTTCTTTTTTTCCAAAACACAAGGTGCAACGAATTCGGCAGCTGGATTCTGGCAATTGGTAACATTTTCATTTTAATTTCTTTCGTCCTTCCACCGTAACGATAAGTTGCGTTAATAAGAAGAAACTGTTATCTTTTAAAGATTGATGCTTATCTCTCGCATCGTGGAAGGTTCTGCCACGAGGAATATATCATTACTCCATTAATACGGGTATCCAGTTCTCATTGGTGAAAAATACACCTACACGCAGAGAGAGAAAGAGAGACAGAGACAGCAAATCCTCGATTAAAGATCACTCGTGTTATTTCTCACTCCGCTGTCTATTCCTCTCTCTAACGTTCGGATCTTCGCGATCGTCCAACACCGGCCTGGCATCTCCAGGAGGAAGACTACTCGGGTATCTCGCAATACCGCGTAACTGATAGGATTAAGATCGGCCGATGGTCTCGGTCTAGCGAGCTTAGATCGGATTCTTAGCGCGGGATCTTAGCTCGTAATTACTCGAGGAAGGAAAAGAGAATATTTTCCTCGCGTGTCATTCGGCTGTTGCTCTCGAGCGAGCGTTCGCCTCTCATTAGCATAATCGAGACGAGGGGTCGAGCGGTGGCAACCGTTTTCAAATCGAAGTTATTCGTTTGTCGACGATCGACGCGGAAACACGAATCGAGGCGAGGCGAGACGCGCACCAGGGACCGAAGAGACGAGATACCGAATCTCTCGATAATCCCGCGAGACGAGGAAACCATTCGAGGGGAAAAGCGAGTTCTCCGCGTGACGAAGCACGAGAGACGGTTGATCCTTTATTTAGGTGTTGTCGCGTAATCGCAGCGCAACACCGCGAAAAGCTCGAAAGACTGGCTCGATTTCATTCGCAGCCTTCGCGTCTTCGCGTTGCAGAATGATCGTAAACGTCCGGATCGGTAACGATCGAGCGCGTCCATACTCGTCGATACACACTCACGGCCGTGCCGCGGCGATAAAGAATCGCGGATTAACGAGCGCGCTATTGTAAAATAACGCGAAGAAGTTTACGTCGAGGTTTGATAAACGATCGCCCGATAAAATGTAAAACTGGGGGGGATTTATGCGCTGCTTTCTGCGAGCTTTCGATTTTTCGGGGATTATTACGGTTGATTTATAAGGGGCTCCGTAGGAAGTCGCGCTTTTATACCCCGGCGGCCAGCGAGGAGAGGCGTTCGAATTGTAAATTCAATTTAACCTCGATAAAGTAATTAAAGACAGGAGCTAGTTTCTCATTTTTCAACGTCGCGGTAAATAATCTTTGTTTCCGAGAATTCTTAAATATCGAATGCCCCACCCCTTCTCCTCTCCCCGGCGCTCCAATTCCGCTTTCGCAACGCGCCGTTTGATTGACGTTTCTTCATCAATTATTCGAGTAGCGCAATGGAAATTCCGTCGAATCCGCGATAGATCGAAGATTGCTAGTCTTCGTAGAATTTTAAGTTATACTTCCTTTCTTTTTTTTTTTTTTTTTTTTTTGTTCCTTTCGGCAGCGGTAATTAAGGCTCATTCGACTGTCAGACGGGCTTTATTAATTATAATTTGATCCTTTATTACTGGCTACGGATAATTAACTGTGTGAACGAGTGTGACGTAATTCGTCCCATTTAGAGGAGCCAACTTCTATCAAAGAAGACCGCGCGAAGCCTGATGTTCGATTTAGCAGCAACTTGCTATTTATCTCTAGAAGATTCTCTGTTCTTCAAAATTTCCTCTTCCTCTTCCCGGAATCACACAACACGAAATGCTGGATAACGACGTCGTTTTTAATAAATCACCTATTCGCTTAGCGGACGAATCGTGATTGTTTCATTTATTTAAAGGCTGCCCCGATACACTTGAGTCGATACACGTGAAAAAAAACGCGAGTAGAGAGTAACACGACTAAAATATATTTATATATAAGTGAATGATATAAGTGAAAACACGGCCGCGCAAATAAATTGGCAATCCGACTTTACAGGGATTCTCGTGACTTTTACGATCGACCGACTAGAATCAGAACGACTAACGAATACAGAGAAACCCGCACGTGAAATTTGTGTATATATATATGTGTGTGTGTACACCTGCACGTGCGGGACAATCGTTGTGAACGTGAGCGTACTCTAGCGTCGGCTGAGATGTTCAAAACAACCTCAAATACATCGTATTCACGTCCAATCTGACGAACCGTCGCGTACGTAGTAAATCGCGTGAGATGAAAATTTATCACAAGGTATTTATCATCTCAGAGACGAACCAGACTTTCTGGCCACCGCTCGGGTTGTCGCTTTTCTACCGATGCCAGGTTATTTATGCCTAAAGTCGTAGTTGAAACGTAGTTTGAGTCGTGAAAGGATCACGGGGAAGGAATTAAGGCCAGCAGCATCGTTTTCGACGATCAGCGGCCGCGTGCTCGCGATTAAGATCAAGGTTAATATCCTGCGGTACTCGGAACGGTTTCGAGGAGCCAGAAACGAACGTTCCGTGATTCAGGCGACGTTTCGAAAGCGCGATCAGTCTGTTTTTGCGTCGCATGATCGAACATCGGCGGTTGCAGCTGTCCGAGTGAACGATGGTAGTCCGAGAACGCGATTCGCGATTCGCCGAGGGAATCGAGCGACCATTGCTGCCGATCGCGCGACTGATCTTTCCCTCGTCTGGAACGTGAAACTCGCACGGAAATACGATTCGGGAAAGAATCGGATATCACGGGGAAAAAATGATACATTTTACTATGCGATTCAATTTCTTCTACTGCTTTTTTGTTTCTTTCTATTTGCAGCCGAGCGAGAGATACGACTTGTCCCAGATGTCCCTGTGCAATTTACAAAAATAAAAAGTGAAGGAATACAGAGAGAAGGAAAAAAATACGAGTGGAAACACGGAACAGCGTATGATTTAAAGGTGGAAGCTTGATTGGGAAATATAGCGGTGGAGAATAAACTCGACCATCATTCGATAGTTGATATGTATTATACGTGCCTGTATAAGGTACAACCGAGTTCCGCGTTTAGTTTTCCCGCAACTCGAGACGGATCCTAAAGCCACAGGCACGATTTCGTAGCTGTGCGCGCGTACAACTTGTAAGCGCATTAATTAAACCGATACGTTTCAAGACTGGTCTTTGATTAATCACGCCACATTCCATCCGCTCCGTTTTGAGAAAGCCGCTGAATAATCCCCCCGGCGAGTAAGACACGCTCGTGACCCGCAGCAAACAACACAATGGAATAACTGAATCTGGGTATCGATGATCGATAGCTTCGGATCTGATTCGACCCCGCGGTCGCCTCGCAAGAAGGAGTCGACGCCCACGCGACCTGTCGATCTTAAACGTACAACAAATATCGATTTCCCCGCCGAATCGACCTCGACCGATACTCCGTTAATTTTACTTGTTGCCTAGATTCCTTTTCGTCGACCTCGTTTCGATTGCAAAGCTACGTAGGGAAGAAATCATTCGCATTCGTTGTAAATCAGTACACTGGGAAATCAGCATCGTTTTAATTAGGCAACACTGTCGATCCGGAGAACGAGCGATTCAATACGCGTGCATCGATCGAGGAACAGACCACGTGATATTTAGACATGCACGGTCTACGTCGCCAAATTTTACTAATCAGTTCACGCTTACACGATGGCTTACGCTTTTCCATTCTCTATATTTAATTAGATTTCGAATGAATAACCTTCCTTTTGCAAATCTTCCTCGCGGAAAGTTCTGAATTCTTAATTCTAATTTCTTTCTGTCCTTTTCACGTCTCTTTGACTTTAAAATTCTAATCCCCTTTCCCTGGTTTCAAGCTCGGCACGGAACGATTTTTTCCGACAATTGGATAGGATTCGACAAAAGGCCTGCCGCTCTTCACGGAACAATAAATACGTCGTTATCGGACAACGGGCGACGGTTGTGTGCGTCAGTCATCGAAACGCGTGCACGGGATCGTAATTAACGCGATCCAATCAGGAAATTCGCGCAAAAATCGCTTGCCCCCAAGCGACGATCCGCAAAAAAATCCGATCGGCGACGATGATTGTGCTTCACCCTCCTTCCCCGTGCACGGCAATCGAGCTCACCGGTTGATGATCCCGGTGCTCGACGATGATTTACACCGTGAAATGCACAGTCACGCTGGTAACGCCGGTAGCATGATGGAACGTTAATACACTGCAAGTAGTCGAGCCATCAGTTTGTGACGTGTACCTTTGATTGTATTCCGAGTTCGTGCTCGCTCGCGTCTGTACTATTATTGCACGCGGCGTTTTTCGGGCCCGCCTCTCTTCTCGCTGTTTCCCGCGTACCGTACGTTATTTCAGTATACACTCTCGTCTATGAGCATCGAGCTATTTCCTAGTTTTGTGGACAAAGCTTCGCCGCGCTGTGATTTCTACGTTTAAAAACAAAATGCAGGAATTTCTATGTGATACATTGGTCGACAATTTAAAGTTGAACTGTATGAATCCTTTATTTATTCTCAAGATTCTACAGTCTCTATGTAATGTGTCTTCATATAAATTTCAAAGTTCTTTGCGAACAGTTAATCGGTTAATCAATAGAAATTGAACGTACAAATTCTTTATTTATTTCGAGAATTCTGCAATCTCTACATATCTTGGCGTGAATTTCAAAATACCTGCGAGCAAGAGTGCACGTTTCCTAAATCGTTTGTTATACTCTCAAGTGACAAAGATTCACGGAGAAAAAAGTGTACGATTTCTTAGACATCTCGTCTCAAAAGGATTTGCGTCATTACAGCCATCTGTCTCGTAACGACACCAAATTCCACGGAAAGAAAGACGTTTCGCGTTCGTTCGCGAAACAACACAGAAACTTTCACCGCAGCGTTCTTCTTTTTCTTTTTTTCTTCGCGAAGAAATTGCAATCGAAGTTCGAATGGCCGATCCTATGGTAAATTATTGCTCGATAACCGTGGCAACGAAAGTCTCACGCTGTACTTAAACGACAATTTAGTCCGGATGCTCGGCGAGCCGACGTTTAACCGATGTATTTTAATTTCCATCGATCGCGCGCGCTAAACCGCCACTTACATTGGCCGAGGGCGCCGATTACCTTTATCGCGTCGGATCCTTTAAGCCGGCTTCCAGATTGATCAGTTCCAATTTTCACACGCGAGCTACGAAGTCTAGCAATTGCCTAGCAACATGTATGTACATACACGCTAAATCGATTGTGTACAAAATTAAATCGTTGCGTGCAATAATAACGAGGTCCATAAAAAAAAAAAAAAGAAATAACATCCAAAAATGATCGAACATTTTGGAAAAAGGTAGGCACGGCTGATCGTTGAAAGTGGAAGTCAAAACGAAAGAGTGACCAGTGACGTCACTTTCAACATCGACAGAAGGTTCAACCGATCCTTTTTCTTTGCTCGTTCGTATTTTGTCTCCACACGTTCTTTATCTTAATTCCTGCAGACCCCTCCGTTTCGCGAAAAGGCATTTAGACTGGCATGAAAATATCTCTCCTCCGGCTTGTCGCTGATATCCGAAAGTTTCGCAGGGGCAAGAGAGAGGACGAGAGCTAAAGAGTGCGTGTCCGGTTAAAAGCGGTTCCCAAAGAATCATTACTCGGCCGAGGCGGCTTTGTACCGGGCTTGTCGCGCTAAGTTCATACTTTATGCGCGCAAAGTAGAAATTATTGTCCGAAACTTATTCAAATACATCGAGATAAGAGGGACAACCGGTTCGTCAGGATCAGCGTAGGGGTTAAGCTACAATGTATCGCGCGTGCGGGAGGAGTGTACGAGAGCCGAGCTCTCGGGACCTGGGCTAGGTTTTTAAACCGGAATTATTCGTAACAATGTTACGTTGTCCGCGGTCTCCACGGAATCCGCCGCTCGAAATGCGTGTTTCACGGATAGAACACGTGCGGCGAACGTTACTGTCTCACGCCGTCGAAATACGATGACAGCGAGGCCGTGAGCCTCGGGAAATAAACGCTCGGATAAACAAAGAATGCAGCCCTTCCGAAACGCGAGAAACCCTCGCCACCTTTTCGGATCGCCACGGAATTCCTTTCCACCGCTGTCAACTAGCACAAATCAAACAATTATCTTTTTTTTTTTTTTGCGGATCAGAGGACGCCATTCGTAACCAAATCAACGTGCGAAGGTCTCTGAGTCACTTCTAGTCCCTGATCTAGCAAGATTAAGCTAACAAAATGGTGGCGAGGGAAACAACTTATCTGTTTTATCTTAGAAACTTTTGCTATCACCTACGAGTTAAGATTTATTATTATTTGCGTTTACGATGATTACGAAAAAAACAGTATTCGTAACATTCGAGTGCTAATTAATCGAAGCATACTAAATATTGCTAATATTTTTTTCAAAATGAATTCCAGTATCTGACAAAGAGAATTTAAAAAACTATGATGCTATAAATTCTTGTATAATTAAATGTAGAATTATCCGCAATGGATTTCACATCGATTCGCTACAGAAGAGAAGGATTTCACCCTTAACAAGCCTGGTGCTATTAAAAAAAAAAAAAAAAAAAAGGAACAGCATTAAACAGACGAGGGCGACATAATATTCCCATTTCTCACGGTTGACGCGATAATCGTGGAGGGTGGCTAGGCCTCGATAGGTAGCGCAACGCAGACGAAGAATTAACACCATGTGCCGCAAGAACCTACCCCAAACCGTGATTTTTACGGCTCATCGGGGATTGACGTGTATAGAAACACGTAGCTGGCGAATAGAGACATTTGTTAACGCGGATCTCGGCCCGCATATTGCACCCTTCGTGCCTGTGCCGTCCCTTTCCTCTCTCCTCCTCCTCCTCCTTTCCCCTCCCCCTCAGCCACCGTCTACCGGACCCTCTTGATTTATTGTCTCGATTGTCATTACCGGGGAAGCCCGGTGTCGCGCCAAATGCGGTCTGCGCCGCGTCTGCATTAACATGTTACAACGCCGAGCCGGCGTGCAAACAAACTTTTGTCAGGATTACGCGCCGATGATTCCGTTCTATCGACGATGGTACGAGTGTCGCGACACGAGCCTTCGAGCGAATCGCACTCGCAATCAGCTTACCAGTTAGTTTCCCTGCTCGTTTCACCGTGAGTCCTCGGTGAGAAAAAAGAGAGAAGAAAGGACAGTGAATTCGTGGGACCGGTAGCTTTTGACTCGTGTCAATTGATTTGTCGTACGCGTATCTCTGAACACAGGGGTGAAACGGATGATTTGTCGACGTTGCTGAAACGAACAACGGTATCAGCATTCACTCTGTTAGAAATGATTGCCGATGTATCGCCATTTGAAATTAATTGCTGGCAATTATAGGCTAGAGGATCTCTTATTTTATCAGAAAACAAATTAATTTAACATCAACGAGACGAACGAGAAGCTGTTTGTAAATAGAACGTTCGATTCAAATATAAACCAACCGATGGTTAATCGAATCGCGAGATTTTCCGACGAGTCGTTTAAGTGGATTACCATTGTTGCGAGGTTTTCGATCGCGGCGAGTACGCACGTCAAAGGAAATCCCGCGAAGAAGAGGGTTATTAAATTGCGTTTAATGCGTGCCAGGCTGCAGAGCGGATAAACCGGAAAGCGGAAAAGGGCGCGGCGGTAATCTGCGCAAGTATAAACGAAGGGTTTAACGCGGAACCCGGCGTTTCAGGGATTCCCGGGCGCTGTTGGTTGGTAGCGTTTTGAATTCAACTTTCAGCCACGCTGGAAACAGAGCACGGACAGACCCTGAGTCTCTTTGCGATCAATCACGAGATAACCGAGGAAAAGGGAAGCTATTAAACCGGCAGGAGATTTAGGTTCTTGAATGAAGCGCAAGAATACCGAATAATCCCGCGTCTCGTCTTTTCCTCACGAAGGAAATCGCCAAGAAATTGCTGGCAACGGCCGTTTTCACTCTTTCCAGCAGGAATCCTCGTGAGGCGCCGGCCATTAATATTCGTCGGACATTGACCACCATCGTATTAAAAAGTGTGAGAGCGAACAAATGAAACAGCGTGAAATAAATATGGAAAACGATTGCTTGCTTCGTGTGCAGGTCAGGAAAGAATCTACGATGACTTCGACAGAAACTCTTGCGCAATTGAATTAATAATATTGGTGAAATCTTGCATTATCGTGGAACTTTTTGCAACAGACACCTCTATAATTTACAATAGTTCATTGTGCAATATTAAAGAAGAGATTTGTAACTCGCAAGTTGTAAAATTTGTTGATTTACTAAAATTATCAGCTGGTAGAGTGGTCCACGTAGATTGCAATTTTTCTAATCGAAGAGACACACAAGACGTCAGTATGTGTGTGTTATACATGGCTCTCTCGCATGTAGCGTTGCTCCTCTCCTCTTCTTTCAGCCTTCGCTTTATTTATACTGACGAGAAGAGCGTAACGATGAACGGGCGACGCGACGCACGCTCCAACTTATGCGCATCCGTTACGTATTTTATCGC